TTTATTCCGCCTTGAACCTTGAGATTTATATTTGCGAAAATTTGCCATACTAGAGTATATTTATTGTTTATTCCATTACCTTATTGATCCTTCAAACATAAGTAATTTCTACTCCAAAGGCCAATTTTTTTTTTTTTTTTTTTTTTTTTTTTTTTTTTTTTAAAAAAATTTTATTAGTACAGCAAACAATTGGAATGTTAGTCCGAATAATATTTCGTCAACTAAGAAATACGGCCCCTCCTTTACCTAACCTTGAAACTCACCGGCACTGTTGATGCCAACTGTTCAACAAAACAATTAAGCAAAATGACCATAAGTACCTTGTGATTATGTTCCAAAAAAAAAAGCAGCAAGAGCTTCAAATACAAAATTACATGCGTTAAGTTCATCTTTCGGTCCAACGGTATCCCTTGCCTCCCTTGGATGTTGTTCCCCGTAAGCTACATCTAACACCTACCCCAAAGAATTATATTAATGCCGCCCAAAAGAATATGGTTACACAAGTAAATATTATACTTACCCCTAGCCTCCAAAAGTCCCCAGAAATAACTTTGTCAAACTTCAAAGCTGTTCGAATCTCCTGCATATTCCAGACTTTGAGTCTTGGGAAAACATCCCGATCAACAGCATCCCTAGCTAAACTAACCAATTAAAATATATGTGAAGAACACACAATACATATAGCTCATCAGCTAACATCAAATGATAAAGAAAATTGAGATAAATTATTTGTTTACATCCATACCACTACAAATAAGAACATCCGCCACATCCACTAGAAAAACCATTTGCATAAAACCGTCGAGCAAAGCTAGAAACATTTTCCATTAATTTCGTCAAAACTAAGTCATACCAGTCATAGTCTATTGCATCCATAACACAGCCAATAGCAGGTATAAGGTCAGCCGCAAGCCGGGGTGACTGCGTAGGGCATAATACCATCTACAAAGCAAGTATAAAAAACAACGTCTTAAATTCCTCTTGCTTAGAAAGATCAAAGTACCCCTCTAACCGATCCATCATGTCCGAGCTTAGTGTTATCGCTACGGATGTGTACACACGACCACATTGCCCAGTTGACACCCATGACTTCCCATACTTCAAAAAAATTCTTTGAACCTTTTCACGCTCATCTAGACTCATGGTTTATTGGAAGCAATACTCCGTGAACCCATTGGTATCCCTAAAATCCACCGAATTTGTTTCTTAGAAAACCTAAACTCACCACCATATGGAGTTATCAACATCTTACTAATCAGATCTATACGAGTCATAAGCCAATACGCTAATTGCCTTGGAAATTGCATTTCAAATGCAAGCTGTAAAGACCACTAAAACCCATTTCAACAACCCAACGTTTTCTCCTAGCGTCAAATTTCTGACAAATACGCCCAAACGACTTAACACGACAACTCATGTTCGGAGGCTGCCACATTACAAGAATTGTAAGTACCCTATCTAACAAACTTTTATCAACACAAAACAAAGTACAATAAAAACTTACCTTCCTGCTACCTTTGGACAGTTCCACCATAACTTGTGCCCTTCATTTCACAGCTCCACTATAGGATAAACTATCATCCTAGATAAGATAAACAGAACTCTAATTACTACTATTACTACTATATTACCAGATTCAGTCCAGAAAACCTATGATTACTAAAACATGACCTGGGATTACTTATACTATGATATAGTAGTCACAAACCAAACACATATACCATAAGGTTACAAAAACAAGCAACAAACCAAAGTGATTTTGTATAATCAATACTTTCAAACCACAGCAGCAACATAACCAAATAAATAGCATAAAGGTACAAAGAGGAACAATAGACCAAACCACAATGGTTTAGGCTAACAAATACTTTCAAACCAATAGTTTTATCATAAGGGATCTAACCTTAAACATGCATGGGTCCAACCTAATAGTTTTATCCCTCCCTTTGACCTACAACCAAATAATTTCTTACACTCAAAGCCCAAAACATAAATCACCTTAGAATTTAACTACGATACCATTACCTTCTTCAGAATGACTTGTCCATCCTCCTCATCACCAACCTACAAGAAGCCTGACGCCAAGTTAGTTCACCTACTCAACATCTTTACATAACAATGTCTGAGCTACCTGAACAAATTGCATACCAATTTCTTTGGAACAGAACAACTACGTCTGCGCTTGCAATTCCCTTCAGACATTTACATAATCCTATACATTGTGAAGGTATCAATTGATCAACTAAACATATTATTGCATTCAATTGAACACAGAATCACTTTGTCGCATGCAATCGAACAAATAATTCAAACTCAACCTAAAACCGCTCATACGCACTTCACAAATAATTGAATCCAGACTTCACCAAAATCTTTTACCTAGTTCGTCATAAATCCACACTTAAATTAGCAATTTAAATTAAAGGAAATAAACTAGATCCCCCAAGTTTCTTCGATTGAAATTCAAATTTAACAATAGCAAACTTAAATCATTTCATTTCAACGTCACAACCACATACAAATTCAATTCAATCAAACACAAATTCAACATTCGTAATGGATAAACAAGAATTACCTAACTCTGCACTTGAAATTGCGAAATTGATTCAGATCTTCACCCCCAGACTTTGGAGAAATTTGCGCACTTGAAATTGGAGAAATCGATTCAGATCTTCACCCCCATACTCTGGAGAATTACCTAACTCTACACTGACCTTCCTCAAAGTAAAGCGCAGATTTCAATTTAATTATTTAGCAATTTCAAGGCAAAATTATGGAACGGCAGAAGTTAACTCCGTCAAATTTACATATACACTACTTGTACAGCTAGACGTTAACAAAAAACACGTTACATATATTGCCCCCATGACAAACAGGTTTTGTTAATCATGAGGAGAAACAGAGATTTTCCTGCATATATGTACTCTTGCATTATTAGAATACATGCCCAACATTTTGATAATTATTGTTGTGCATATTGTTAAATGAATTAGTGTTTTTACAATTTCTATTGTTAATTAAACCGTGGTTGTTGTAAGATCAACAATATTTACATACAGAGGTTAGAGGAATATTAAAAGGGGAGATTCTAGACAGAGATGGAGGAAACCATCCTTATAGAAGGAAGATATACAAGAAATCATCTTTGATGTAATTGTGGAATATATAAAGAACACTTTCTAAATTTTGAAAATTCATTAATATTGTACAATTGTTCTACATATAAAGAAGAGGATTTGACACTAAAAAGCCATCTTCCATAAACAAGATGACCTTTGGTTTATTTCGCAATAATATGACCTTTGACCCCCATCTTCCATGAATAGGATATTTGTATTTTTAACCGGTTGTTGAAGGTAATGTAGAGGTAAGATGATTACGTGGTAGTGACCGTTGGAAATGTTTGACCTTTTTAAAAGATCTTCCCTCCTTGTTCAATTACGAATGCATTTCTTCTTCTCCCCTTTTCTCCTCAGATATATTTCTCCTCCTCCCCAATAATTTAATTTTGCTCCTCATGTCTTCAAGAAAGCAATCCCCTAGTACATCTGGGTCATCATTAGTTGGAAAGCGGGATGGGCAATCAAGAATTAGCTGCAATTAATTTTGCTCCTCATGTCTTCGAGAAAGCAATCCCCTAATACATCTGTGATTCGTACCGTGAGACAAGGTCCAAATTTAGGGAATAAATTCTATGGTTGTCCATTGTGGCCTGTAAGTGTTTCGATTTTATTGTGTTTATGTTCGATTTTTTTATTTGTTTGGAAATTGACTTAATTAAGATTTTGTGTGTTGTGTGTAGGATACACAATGTGACATGTTTAGATGAGTGAATCCTAACATTGAGTATGATGAATTTGCAATGAAGATATTAGAGAAGGACACTACTATTTTTTGCGAGATGGAGCATGAACAACAAATTAGGGATGAGAAAACAAAAAGTTAGTTAAAGAAGGATAATTTGGAAGAAGATGTACAAGAGATGAAATTTGAGGTGTCTTGTATGCGAATTGAGCTAATGAAGGCTGCAAGGACAGAAAAAAATCTTATGATTGATTTGGTGTTGTCTTGGATATTTTTTGGTGTAATTGTGTTTTATGTCAATTAATTTGTGTTGTAATGAAATTATTGTACTGTAGAGTTGTTATCTATAACAAGATTTAATTTGTGCCAATATTTTGTAATAGTTTAAGTAAGTATAAGCTTTAATTTTGGCGAATATTTTGCAATAGTTCAAGTAAGTAAAATCAATGACAATTGAAGTTCATTATACGTATCTAAGCCAACATAGTAAGTGTACACTCAGCTGCAACACAAACTTAAAGTTTTACATATTGAAATTGTTCCAAAATAAAAAACAAATGACAATAATTGATGGCCAAGCAATGACCAAAAAAAAGGCCCAACAGTTGCTAAACTATTACATAAACTTGGTTGCACAAAGACAAACACCAACAGGCTGCATCATTGATCAATAATGGAGGTATGGATTTACTGTGTTCCAAGACCTTGACTTCTGAGCCTACCCCTTATACTAGGTCTCTGCATATAAAAATAACATAAGGTACTAAACTTTAACAACTAAACCATAAATAAGTCATGGAATGCTTATATCTCAGTTATTGGTGTCCCATCTTGACTAAACAGAACTCCAATTCCAATGGGAGATTGTAGAAGAATTCAGTTAGGTTAGAGAGCAATTCATGAAGTGATTGTCTAAATTAATGTTGTAGGTGTTATACCTGATTCCTCCCTCTCCCCTTGGCTCTTCCTCTCCCCTTGCCTTGCCCTGTTCCTCTCCCCCTGCCTTGCCCTCTTTCAGCACTTGACTCAGCTGCAGTTGAGCCCCTTCCTCTAACTGAAGCTTGGCTAACTCCTCTAGCACCTTGGCCTCCTAAAATCATCTTGCCACCTCTGCCAAGCTGTGTTGGCTGTGATGTGTTGGTGTAATGGTGTGCAAATGGCTGGACAACTTGTGTTGGTGTTGAAGATGAAACCATCTAGGAATCATGAATAGGTTGGGAGGCAGCAACATCATTTCTCGGCCTACCTCTTGGTCTTTTTAGAGCTGGCTCTATTGGCACATAAGATCCCTTGTTTGGGCAAGACCTTTTGTTATGCCCCTTTGTTCTACAAATGTTGCATGTCATTTCAATGCCACTCCTAAGAAGACATCCTGGCTTCTTAGGGTTCTCTTTAGGATGCTTGATCCTGTTCTTTCTAGGTTTCCCAAGACCAATCTTGATTGGGGGTGGGTCTAAGTTACAGGGCACCCTAGGACAATATCTATCTCCCTCACAAGGTAAGATTGAACCAGCATATGCCTTAAAAAAGGTGTTTAGTTTATGGCAATCATCTACAAAAGCCTCTACTTCTTTGTTCACAAAAAATATACATGCTATGGCACGGCAACATGGTACACCTAGCATGTTCCATTTCCTACAACTACAAACTCTAGCATTCAAATCAACAGTCAGTTGGTCTAAGAAGTATCTGACATTGAAGTGAGTGTCAGATAAGGGCATAACATCACAATTTGCATCCTTTTCTTTTTCTTTCTCAAGCCTAGCTTGGATTCTAGGGCACAACACAGACTTACACTTTTCCATTTCTTTCCTTCTTTTCACTAATCTTTGCATTAAAGCCACTCTAATGTCTTATAGCATGTATATTATGTGTTTTGTCCTAGCATTTATGATGTATGTATTGAAAGTTTCAGCCATATTGTTAGTTATGGCATCAGTCTTGGTTGAAGTGTTTAGGAATGCTCAACAGAAATTGCAAGGGTTGTACCTCTTAAATGCAAGAGCAGCTTCAGGATTTAACTCATTTAGTTGATCCCAATTATCATTAAAATCAGCTTCATTGTATGACTTGGCTATCTTCCAGAAATGGATCTTCATCTCATCCCCCTTGTATGTCCTATGCCGTATGGCAAAGATATGCTTTGCATAATGTCTGTGCTCAGCCTTGGGCAGCACAGCAACTACAGCATGAAGGATATCCTAACATACATTACAAAAATCCAAGTATTAGAGTTTGTATAACAAAAACACAAATAATCAGACATAAAGAAGTTTATCAAATGTACCTAATGCTCATCTGAGATAATAGCCACACTAGTTCCATCTCCAAGTTCAAGACATGTTTGCAAATGGGTGAAAAACCAAACCCATGACAAGTTATTCTCCCCTTTCACAGCTGCCCATGAGATGGGAAACATTTCATCATTGGGGTCCCTGCCCACTACAGACATAATCTGGCTCGCTAGAATGTCTTTAAAAATGTTATACCCTACACAAATCACCCTCCTACAACCTGACTTCCATCCTTCCTTAACTCCATCAAAGCAAACAAACAACCTATTAAACATAGGTTATTAAGAGTTTAGGTTAGCTTTAGTAACCAACTCCAAATCTGTCCCAGGGCTTGCATTTTTCAAAGCTTTAATGTACCTCTCAATCTTCATATAATGGTCTTTCATAGACCTATGTAACATTCTGTGAGCATGATATTTCACCTTGTAGGCAAAATCCCTCCTTACAATCACCGTATATGCCCTCCTTACTGTCTCAATTATCTCCTTAGCTGGCAAGTGTGGCCTAGCTTTAAATACCTCCAATAGTTGCCTTGCAACCCATGTTGACTTTAGTTGCCTGTTTTTGCTCATATTCTTATGGCAAGTGTGTGTGTGTCATGCAACATCTTCACCAACCAGGTCTTATCCCTTGTATGCATAGAACAATACAAGTAAAAGGGCATTCACCAACACATTTCACTGCAAGTTGATCCCTTCTCTTGTTGTTTATCACATAGCTCACATCTCTCCCCTGCATAACTGCATATTTGCTCACAACCTCTTTAAAATTCAACTCTGTTGGTGAACCTTTGACCAACTTCCTTAAAAAATGAACTAAAGTCAATGTCCCCTGTGACTAACAAACCCTTCTTCACCCTTTCACTTCCTTCTGCTTCATCCCCACTGTTAGGTGGTGTGTTCTCCTCATCACCACTATCCTCACCTTCAGTAGGCACAACTCCTTGGCCTGATGAACTGGTTGCAAAGGTTAGTGGTTGGATCTGTGATGTTTGTTAACCTAGCTTGCCTTCCCTAGCTTCTTGCTCCAACTGTCTAGCCAAATCAACCAATTTGGTATTCACAATCTTAAGCCTATCTCTAGGTTCTAGTAATTCATCATCCTCAACATCAGATTCATTAACAATGTAATCAGTTCCTTCTTCCAATTGCTCATCTGCCTCAACTCGTACTTCCTGCTCCAGATCTAAATCATTCAACCTAAAATCATTCTCAAACTCACCCCCAGCTTCTGCACCTATATCAAACTCAGCATCATCCTCATCTTCAAACTCATACCCTTCACAAAACTTATGATACTCAACTTCAAACAAAGGATCTTCTTCCTCACTGGATCCTTCAACATCACTTACTATCTCACTCCACGTTAATGGACTCTCTCTCCTGTTATCCTCCAACTCATAATCATCTAAAGTCTATGTGTTTATCTCAGGCAACCCACTTAAAGTTTGTGTGTTTATCTCAGGTAAATCATTTGTGCATGCAAATTCTAAGGAAGGGAATTGAGAGAGGGTTTCTATTTGAGAAAGGGTTTGAAAAGGGGGTTCACTCTCTTTCTCACTGATGTGTGGTTGTAGTGGTTTAATGAGGGTAGTAGCATCAGTCAAAGAGGATGAGGGAATCTTATAAATGCTTGTCTTTTTCTTGGTAGATGGGGTAGTTAGGTCAGTTAAAGCAACTTGTGCTAATGTGGAAGCATCTTTTGCACTAGATGTGGAGGCATGTTTTTGTTTTATTCTAGGACTTGTCCTAATGGGTTCCATTATTTTTATGGGCGGTCCTTTTTTGGGGTCATCTAACATTACTTTTTTCCTTAATGACTGGTTGGGTTTCTGGTATTGTGAGGTCTTCAATTTGTGAAGGGTTTTCAACAGGTTGGACTTCAATAATTTGTGGTGGATTTTCAACACCTGTATCAAGCACTACTTCTTCCCTCCCTTTACTACAAGAAACAACCTCTCTAGGTGTCAAAATAAGCCCCACATCATGATGCAATAAGTAAATTTCAAGAGCCCTGAATTTTTTAGTCAACTCTACCAACTCTAACACTTCAGTATCACCCTCTATTCTTCTAAGACCATCTTGCAGAATCATTCCTGGGATTAGATAAAACATCCCATTCACAGAGGCATACCCACACTTCTCTACAAATTCAAGTAACTCCCAATAACTATATCAGGGTCCACAACAAAATTCCTACCCATACCACCATAGTATACCAACTCACCATTACCAATAATTTTGAAATTACCCCCATGCCAGAACCGTATGGTAAGATTATCAAAAAAGGTAGACATGTTACCTACATATGAAATACACAATCGGGTACTACCCAAACACAATTATCACATCTATGAACCTTAACCTAAACAATCAACCATAAAAAATTCGCAAACAATAAACCCTCACAATGTTGGGTTTTGCGGTTTCTAACACCGCGCGGAAACAAAGCTCGATAACTGGATCGCATGCATAATAATTACAACATAAATAAAAGCATGCAAAATAGACATAAACATAAGAGAAGAGAGATAATGCTCATCCTTGTAGCGTGCTTCGCTCAACCTCAAGTTCGGACTTGAAAGCTTCAAGTTCCGCAAGTGCGAGAACCTCCGACGGCTCACACCCGTGCTACCGAACCGCACCGATCCCTACCCCGAAGCTTAGTCGGGGCTAGACCAAAAAAAACTTAGAGTTATTAGAACAAAGGTTTTCTCTTCTTGGAGATCCCTTAAAGATCACCAACTCAAGTGCCCTTTCCCAAAGCCAAATGATTGGTATTTATAGGGAATAGAGCCCTTGAAATCCCATCATCTTTCAATGTGGGATAGTTGGTAAAAAGGAAAAATAGAATTTAATTTAATTCTAAATTAAATTAAATAGCCATGAAACAATAATCAAATAACAAGTGTCATCACACAAAGAGGGAGTAGGTTGGAGGACCACCTTGGCCTTGGAGAGCAAGGCAAGGCTTTCCTCCACCTACTCGGTAAGCCCGGGCAGCTGCCCGACCTTAGGCAGTAAGGCCAGCCTTGCTGGCAGCCTTGCGCCACAAGGCTAGGCCTGCTAGCCCTTGGTCACAAGCCCACGCACATACGCAGGCTTAGCAGCGCCACCCGCAAGCGAGCAGTAGCGCAGGCCTAGCAGCAGCCTCGCAAGCTCGGCTTGCTTGCTAGCCTTACTGGGCTGCCCGGCTTGGGGTGTTGTGGTGCGCAAGCCCACGAAGCATCCCCAGCCAGCCCCACATTCCACGACAAGCCTAGTTGGGCCTTGCGAGGGCTGCGGTGGCTTGGTGCCTTGTTGCTTGCTGCCCCTAGCCACTTGCCTTCGATCCGAGGCATGGCTAGGGCTCGTGCTATACTCGTAATTTTTAACACGATATATTATTTGATTATTTTTCTCGTGTTCGTCGATTCTTAAAATCGACTCAACGCACAACGCTCGATTTCGACGCTCTAAGCTTGTAATCCAACGTCTTTGTTCGTGAAACTCTATTGACTCTTTTAATCCTTCGGATTAATTCGTCGCTTTGGTTCGGTTACACGATTGGGTGTGACCCGAAGGGTTCAGTCAAGATTAAGCTGTAATATTAATTTTTCATGAATATTACTAATCGGAAACGACCTCCAGCTAGGCATTCCGATCACTTGACCTCACTGAATAATTAACTTTCTAATTAATTTTGAACCCTCTATCGGAATAATACACTTGTTCTAAGGACACCATTCCATTCAATCTCCTACTTGTCCTTCCGGACAAGTGTGCTAATTGTGTATAGCCTGTTTCCTATGTCACTTATTGTCTCTTCGTGAACTATAAGGTAAGATTTTTCGTCATCCTTATTACGTCCAGAATTTTCTCAATTTCTGAGTTCGACTGTCAATAAGCAGATGATTTCTAAAATCCATCTGAGCACAACCATGCATTTTCACAGTCTCGCTCTTCGAGAGGCCTTGTAAACAACAAAGACATGTTCCCTACTGTTAATAGGGGGACATTCCCAGTCTTGCATTGTTAGCTTCCCTTACTAAGAGGCCCTAGCCGCCCAAATGTTGCCTTTATAATCCCCTTGTACGACAGACGTTTGACAACATCAAAGCGGACTAGTACTCAAACAAGAGAACTAACAATACTCATGGTCAAGGAAAGAGGTTCCGATAGCCATAATGAGTGATATACTTATGACGATTGTTAAACCTGTGAGGGGCAAATGATTAGGGGATTTTGCTCCCACCAATCACCATCTGACAAGTGGACCAATCAGGTTCCTCCATGTGTCCGTCACATGGGCCAATAGGAACCTGCCACGTGTCAAGCAATGATCCGTCCACCTTGGACCAATTACGACACGACACGTGTCCTTCCCATGACACCTGGGATAACCGGTCACCTAGGCCCAACTTCCGAGGGAAGCCCAATCAGCCCAAGGTTAAACTAAACCTAGATTGGCACGTTTCCCGAGGTTATAAATACCTCCCTTAATCCTCATTAAGGGGGATTACATGCAGATCA